CTTTTATGTAAATGAAAGCTGTCAGCATGTTACCATAGTGTCTACTTTCTCTCAAGCTGGAATTTATGCCACTTGGTCTAACCAAGACCAGGAAGGATTATTCCATAGTCCTTAGTTAGGACTAAGAAGAAATCAATGCAATGAGAGAGAAAAGAAATGGCAATGTCCCCTAAAGTGAAGTCCTTTTAATTTTTTCCTATTTTGTTTTTGCTGATTTCTCCCAGAAATATTCTTTCTGATGATGCAGTTAGGCATTTAAGAGCTACTTAAGAAATTTGTAATTTTAGGAGATTGGAATAGCCCCATTAAAAGATACCATCTTTTTAAGCAATAGATTTTTGAAAAATGATTGTTATATTCATCTCTCATAAGGAAACTTTAAAAATGGTAAATCTAGACGTTTCTCATTAGAAAAGTCAAGGTTTGAAAAGATTTCACTGTCTTTTATTTTGTAAGATTAGAGTAGAATAGTTCTAAATGTTGATTATGGTTTTTAGCTCCTGTTAATTCCATTTTTTAAATACAAATGTTAATATTTTGTCAGGCTTACTTTTCCCACAGGAAGTTCATTTCACCCGGGATGTGCAAGATGTTTAAAGATGCTGATCTGCTTAATGGTGTAGAAAGAATAGAACCCATCTTGATTGCTCTCAGTTGATGTGAAGTTCTGTTGAACTGGTTCTGACCCATAGTGACCTCAGTACAATAGAACAAAACATACTCTAATCCAATCATACATCAAGATTTTCGGTTTAGTATATTGGTGCCCTCGCCTGCCACACTGTTTTCAGTAGAAATATTAAGATTATTGGGATCTTTGGGTGTATGAATGAAAAGCTGTACAAGTCAAAATGTAAAAGAACTTCTTTTTCTACCAGTAGGTGATAGATTGTTCTGAAATTAAGTGGTTGGAGTCTGTGTGAGAGCTGAGCTAGACACATTGTCTTTCTTGAACTGTGGCTACTTAGGATCACTTCCCCTGTCGTCCCTATTTTCTGTGTTAGTTAAGGTGGCCTTTTCATTTCGTGCCACTTTTGGGAGGTTTCCAGATCATGATCAGATGTTTTTCCACCAGAGGAGCTAGTCTGCCCAGCTTAAACTGGTGGAGTGAGGTGCAAAGTAGCCCTGTGTTTTCCTGAATGGATTTACGCTGCCATATGGCAGGTTAGTGAGTTGCCACGACAGATTTGTAATGGGAAGAGGGCTGTGCGGAAAGGGATGTGCGTGATCAGCAGATTTATAGATCAGAAAATGAAATCAGGAGAGAGGATTTTTCAGAGTGCCCTTTCTATTTGACAGCACTAAGTGGAGAGGGTGTGGAATGGTTTTTTAGTGTTTTTCTATTTTAGCTTTTGGTTGTTGCAGCCTGTTTTCTCCTAGCACAGGAGTTGATTTCCTCAGGCATCTGTGTTCTGGGTGTTGTGTTGCTGTTTTCCTATTCACAGAAATACTCCTTTTGTCAGATTTGAAGCTGTGCTGTATTTCATATGATAAGATCTCAGTAGCAATTAAATTCCTGAAGACCCATCAAAGCTCTTATTGGCTAAAATGAGGATTGGCCAGGCGTCAGGTTTTGCAATACAAGGAGGTTATTCAGATATGATTTAGTGACTACTGAGTTTTCTAAAGGAGATAAAACAAAAAGAAAACCTAAATGAGCTAGAGATAGTTCGTCCTGGTATTTTTAAGCCTGTGCTGTCTAATATCCGATTCACCAGCCAAATTCCAGGAGGCTCTGGTTGCATAGCCTGTCAAATTGCACTGCTAATAACCCGAGGCCCAGGTGTCTCCGGTGATTAATTCGAATCCACACCAGCAGCTGAGAGTTAGATGGGCTGAGAAAAAGAAGCCTCCTCCTGATGCGATTTGAAGCCATGGAGTAAATGAGTCAGAACCAGCTCAGTGACAGTGAGGGAGCCTTCTGTCAAGGATTCAGTCTTCACATGTGTTCAAGGCTACCATTTACACAGCATAAACCATTTTCATTCCTCACAGAAAGCTCTGCTGGGCAGTGCTGATCTAAATAGAAGAATCTGAGAAATAAAATTTCTTCTTGGATTTCTTCATCCAAATAGAATTTACTGAATTAGTACATTGCTTCTGAGGGTTTAACATGCAAAAGAATAATCGGTAGACTTTGTTCAAAAACGCAGATTTTATATCCTAACCCAGACGCTAATTTGTAGGGCTCAGCTCTTAATTTGCCCTCTCTTTGTTCCTGAGTTTCTTTGGTGGTCCCATGCTTGGGTGTAAGCATGATCATACCCAGCTTGTACTAAATGCGTAACAGTTTGTCACTGATTGATGTCATGTTAATGGCCCCATGTGTGCAGAGTAGACTTACTGTACAGGGTTTCCAAGGCTCTGGCCTCTTGAGAACAGATCACCAGGCTTGTCCTCTGACGTACCTCTGGTTCATTTCAGACTTCAGCTTTGTGGCTAATAGCCAGGCTTGTAACCATCTGTGCCACCCAGGTGGTCGTATCTTTTTAATGTAAGATTTTACTACATCCTAAGAAATGTAAGCAGTCATGGCCTTTCAGAGCCATTCTAGATTGTGTGGGGTGATAATTCTCACAGAGCATTTTAACCAGCCATTGAGACTTGAGCACCCCACCCCCAAATCTTGGTATTGTAAGGTAATAAAAAAAGAAATATAACACATGATCTCTTTTAAAGAGACTGTAGCCAGCTAAGAAATGGATAAACATATATAGACAAATTAGTAAAGGGTACTTATAATAAATCAATAATTTAAAAAGTAAAAAAAGGATGCTACAACTTGGTTGAATATATAATAACCCTTCCTTAGTATGTTTTAAAAATTTTTTACATAGGGATATAGTCTTTGCCATCTAGGGCAGAAGGTATCAAATGGAGTCGGGGTCAAATTTGGTCCTTATTGTATTTATTTGTGAATGTTGTCAATAGATGTAGGCTGGGAAAAGGCACCTGGAAGAACCAAGTAAAGGAACTACGCAGAACAGATTCAGAACTTTTCTAGATGACTCCGTAATCACAGAACTGGGTTTGCTGGCAGAAACAGGCAGAAAAATTGAAGCAAAATGAGGGTGAAGGAAATTATCTTCATAATAGGACATGCCTTTGTTGTTATATGCCATTAAGTCATCTGGGACTCATAGTGACCCTATGTACAACAGCTCTGAACCCTACTCTATCCTGAGCCAATTTCTTTGTTTCTGACACACCTACTCCCATTACCCCAGTCACTGTGTCAATCCTCCTCATCCTGGGTCTTCCTCTCTTGCACTGTCCCTCTACCCTTCCAAGCATGATGTCCTTCTCCAAGGACATGGTCCCTCCTGGCAGCATACCCAAAGTACATCAGACAGAGCTTCAAAATCTTAGCCTCCAAGGAGCAGCTTGGTTTTACCCTCTTCAGAACATACTGTTTGTTCTCATAGCAGTCCATGGTATGTTTAGTACTCTTCTCCAGCACCACAACTCAAAGGCATCTATCATCCTTAGTCATTGTCCAGATCTCTGATGCATAGCAAGTAATTACAAAGACCATGGCTTGGATCAAGCACATCTTAAACTCTACTCTGACATTGTTGCTCTTCAGTACTCTGGAGAGGTCCCTGAGAGCAGATTTTTTCCCCCCAAAGCAATTAGTCTTTTGATTTCCTGACTGCTGGTGTCAAGAGTGTTGATCATGGAACCAAGCAAACTGAAATTGTTAAATCCTAGTGTGTATTTTTAATTTTACATATATTTTTTAAACCTTCTAGAGTTCCAAAGAATAAAAAGTTTTCTTTGAAAATAATTGTCGGGGGGTG